CAAAGGGGGTTATCTCACATCTGAAGTCCTGCAGAGAGGCAGCGACCCTGCTCCTATCTGAGAGGGGCCGAGAAGTGAGTTACGGCTGAAGGAGATGTGACAGGCGGGAGAGAATAAGCAGTGAACGGCCATACTGGAGATGAATCAACCCTCTTCCTTGACGAGCAACTGCCTTTGGCTACTGTGAGCTAAAAGCTACAGTAATAAATTTTAAGGCCTGAAAAGATCATTACAGTGATCCAGCCCAGCTGCCCACTCATCCAGGACGCTGGATTTCCTGAAGTCGTTCCCTCCTGCCCCTCTTGCCGCCACAGCCGAGGTCCTTTCCTCCTCTGCTCTTGCTCGGAGGCCCTTCCCTGCATGCCGGCACCACCACAGCCCCCACTGCGGTGCCAGACCTCTGCAGCACACCCCGCCCCCGGCACCTCAGCCGGGCAGCAAGGACAGCTAGTGCAAATATTTTCTCGGGAGTGTTTCTGGCAAAGAGAGCTTTTACACCCGGCTCTCCGGCAGTGCTGGCTCATGCTCTGCGTCAGAGCAGCACCTCCAGCAGCAGTTTTGCCTATGTGGCTCCAGGTCCGTGCTCAAACGTCTGTTGTGGAAACCTCAGGCAACTGCGCAGGGAGCCATGCTCCTGCAGCTCTCGCTGCTGACCAAAACTGTTGATCTGAAGATGGCTCCATCTGGTTTGTGTCTCGTCTTTCCTGGAAACTACCGGACCTCACAGCAGTTGAAGTACCTGCAGCTCCTGGAATAACAACTCCCAGCTACCCGGGGAGAAGGCAGGTAGAAGAACAACTCGGGAGAAATTGGGTTTTCTGATGACGTTTCTTTGCTGGCCTCCGTGACCTCAGAAAGAGGTCGGTGTTAACACCACAATGGAAGCACATGGGCTGGAAACAGGAAAAAACCCTGGGATGGGCTTTTTGTTGAACATCCTGCCCAGCCCAGGGCAAGTCTCCTTAAGGTGGGTCACGTCTGTGCTGAGCCCTTGAATCGAAGAACAACAGGAGCTCCCCGTCCGCCTCATGTGGACGGATCTCCAAAAGGGAAGGGAATGGGTGAGTTTGTTAAGTATTTCCCATTCTGGAGGGGCAGGCCATGGCTGGACTGTGACTGCCAGGCAAAGCTCTGCCTTGGGAAGGTTGTGATGCATCAAGAAACATCTAAGCAACCCGTCAGTGACCCTGGCAGGTGCACCCCGAGAGAGGAGGGAAGGGGGGCTCCAGGCGGGAGTCTTGCATCTCCAGGCATCTCTTAACATCACCTTGTCCCACGCATCTGGCTCAGTCTGCTACAGCTGACGCTAACAGGGAGCCCTGGCTCCTCCCTTCAGTCATGTTGGTGCAATTTGGGGGAAATAGGTGCAAATGTAAGCTCCTCATGTCAGCTCTTTGGCAAGTAAAAGAGACAGCCACAATTTGACTTAAAAGGCAAATTCTAATTCTTAACATTGTACGTCATGGTTTTTATGCGCAGTGCAATTTACAGGCCAGACGAGCGAGGCCAGCGGAGCCCAGGCTGCGGCCAACCCGGCAGTGAGTCCATCAGCCGTGGAAATGCCGCAGTGACAGGTTCGCTTCGTTAACTAGAGGCCCGGCATTTCCTGGGCACGCGCAAGCAACGGGAAGAGAAAAGGCTGTTGCAGGGGTGGGAAATGACCAGAGCCTAGTGAATGCTTTGGGATGGATGGCAAAAACAACGCCTGCCCCAGTGCTTGACAGACCAGACAGGCTTCCATCCCGAGGTCACAACACGTGCATCCTTCCATCAACACGAATGGTGACCTCCACAGGAACACAAAACCTCCTTTTCTTTTGGAGGGGCGCAAGTTCTCCAAAGCGGAGCATGTCATGCCTAGGTGGAGAAATGCCCGTTTTCCTCTCCCTGCACCAGCCGTACCCGGAGCCGGAGGCTCTGCAGAAAGCTACTGAAATCTGAGCAAAAAGTCCTAGACTCTTTCCATAGGTTTTCTGTCACGTTTATTTCTCCTCCCCTGGTCCCAATTGTTTTTTTTCCAAAATCCTTTCCGGCATTTTTCCCTTTTATCACTGCCCTGTGAACATCCTTCTGGGTAATTCGCTAGCCCCCTCCACCGGATTCCCGCCAGCTTTTGCCCATACTGAACATGACAAGATTTTTACTTTGAAGCAGCTGTAATTTTTTTTGCCCAGCCTTAGGTGAGAATACAAGGACTTTCAGTCCCTTTGCCTCTTCATTCTGAAAATACTCCCCTCGGTAAACAAGTCCTAAGGCTAAGACGATGGACTGGAGTGCCAGGAAAGCCCTCAGTTGTTGAAGTTGTTTGGAAATCACCATTTTCTGGTGCTGTAAAACAAGAGTTAATCCATGTTTCCACTGTGGAGGGCTGTTTGCGTTTTTTTTAAAGAAGGGAAAAAAAATTCCTTTCATTCTTTGCCAGCAATTTCCATGGAAATAGAGTTTCCAGCAAAAACTCGGTGCCCAAACGAGAATATTTTATCCAGAAAGTGAAAGATTTTCTCTGAACAATTGCAAGATTTCATCCAAAAGCCTGAGAGGCTTCGTCCGAAATATTTCGCTCGTTGGCTGGAAACAAAGCACTGCCGAGCGAGAGAGGACGGAGAACCCTCTGCAAACCCCCCCGGTCTCCAGGCAGGCCTAGCGCCGAGGGTTCGGCCCGCGGGGATGCTCCCGAGCCAGGACGGGGGCAGGGCCTGGCGGCCGGCGGGCA